AAAATAGTTTAATATAATATTTTAAAGAATATCATAAATATTTAATAAATCAAAAAATAAAAGTTATAAAAACTTTAATTTCATTTTTCAAAGCATAAATATTTAAAATATTTATAGCAAGCAACATGTTAAATGTAATGTATTATATGATAAAAAGAGTTATGATCTTTATAAACGAAATCATGTTAAGATTATATGATGAGATGAGTTAAATAAGGTTTGACACCTCTAAATATTTAAAATTTTGATTCTATAAGTATATATGAAAATAATGAATGATGGATTGTGCACACAATTTTTTCATTGGAATTCTAAAATAAAAATATAGGTACGCACGGGTTGAATTTAATCTTATTATATACCAAAATATGTTTATTATATACGCAATTTTTTTCACTTACTACTAGCATATATCAAATACATACGTTTTATTTTTAACCAAAAAAACGTAAAAAACCGAAAAAATCGAACTGTAACTAAACCGAATTACATACGGTTTCTATATGGTTTCACTTTCTACAAAACGAAAAAATGATACTAAACCGAAAAACCGTACTCCAACCCTAATATTTTCTCATCAAACAAAATAAAATAAAATAAAAAATCCTTATATGTCATTGTATTATGTAAGAATTATTAAAATTATACTATAAAACAAACAATAATCTAACTTTATATAAATATTTAAAAATTAAAATTTTATCCGTGCTGTTCCAGCACGGGTTATGATCTAGTTATTCATAATGATCTTATCTCTTATCGTATTTATGATTTAAGTCTTGAGAGAGTTACTTGAAATATTGTGGACATTTACAAAATTGTTGTTAAAAATAATCGATACAAATGTTTTTCTATTTTTACACTAGTAGAAAGATAACTAGATAAGATCATTTGAATATTATTTTACTAATTATGAAGAAGTAAAATTTAAAAGATTTGTTACACTATTTCTCTATTTATAGATTCACATACCCAATTTAAAAACAAATCTCTTGCCTATATAAATCTAAACTTAATTCATTTTCTTACAACAAAACAAGATTCAATTATCAAAAGAAATTTAAGAATGACAAATAAATATTTTTGTTTACTAGTGTTCATTGTCTTGGCTTCCGATGAAGTTGTTGCCAAGAGACACTCTTCAACACCTAAATTAAGAAAAATTGATTTCCCAGAAGATTTCATTTTCGGAGCTGCCACCTCTGCGTACCAGGTCGAAGGAGCTGCTCATGAAGATGGTAGAGGACCTAGTATATGGGATACATTCTCTGAAAAATACCCAGAAAAGATAAAAGATGGTAGCAATGGATCTATTGCAGATGACTCTTACCATCTTTACAAGGAAGATGTGGGTTTATTGCATCAAATTGGGTTCAATGCCTATAGATTCTCCATCTCGTGGTCGCGGATTTTGCCTCGTGGGAATCTCAAAGGAGGAATCAACCAAGCTGGTATTGACTATTACAACAACTTGATCAATGAGCTTTTGTCCAAAGGAATTAAGCCTTTCGCCACCATTTTCCATTGGGACACACCACAAGACCTTGAAGATGCTTACGGAGGATTCCGTGGGGCTGAAATTGTGAATGATTTCCGCGATTATGCGGATATTTGTTTCAAGAATTTTGGAGATCGAGTGAAACATTGGATGACATTGAACGAGCCATTAACAGTGGTGCAACAAGGATATGTTGCTGGTGTTATGGCTCCAGGAAGGTGTTCAAAATTTACAAACCCTAATTGCACCGCCGGAAATGGAGCCACCGAGCCTTATATTGTTGGTCACAACCTCATCCTTGCTCACGGAGAAGCAGTCAAAGTCTATAGAAAAAAATATAAGGCTTCTCAAAAAGGTCAAGTCGGTATTGCTTTGAATGCAGGTTGGAACTTACCTTATACAGAATCATCTGAGGATAGGTTAGCTGCGGCACGAGCCATGGCTTTCACATTCGACTATTTTATGGAGCCGCTCGTGACCGGTAAATACCCGATTGACATGGTTAACAACGTAAAAGGCGGTCGCTTACCTACATTTACTGCAAAACAATCTAAGATGCTTAAGGGATCATATGATTTCATTGGCATCAATTATTACTCGTCTTCTTATGCAAAAGATGTTCCTTGCTCAAGCGAAAACGTTACAATGTTCTCTGATCCTTGTGCTAGCGTCACCGGTGAAAGAGAAGGAGTTCCCATCGGTCCAAAGGCTGCATCAGATTGGCTTTTGATATATCCAAAGGGAATTCGTGATCTTATCCTCTATGCAAAATACAAGTTCAAAGACCCTGTCATGTACATAACCGAAAATGGGAGAGATGAGGCTAGTACTGGTAAAATCTTACTTAAAGATGGTGATAGGATCGACTACTACGCTCGACATCTCAAGATGGTTCAAGACGCTATCTCGATTGGAGCCAACGTAAAGGGATTTTTCGCATGGTCGTTACTAGACAACTTTGAATGGGCATCGGGATACACGGTCCGGTTTGGACTTGTTTACGTGGATTTCAACGATGGACGTAAGAGATATCTTAAGAAATCGGCTCATTGGTTCAGACATTTATTGAATGAAAAGAAAAAGAATTGATGAGATATGTAGCATTCCATTATATTAACTAACTAGCTCAATACCTACGCAAACGCAACGCGTGGTTTGAAAAACAATTATTGTTGATTTACAAATACGGTTTCATCCTATACTATTATTTGGGGAGTACACTTTATAAGATACCCTTAACTAACCTTCTCATTTGTAAAAAATTACTTAAGAATGCCATTAGAGATAAAAATTTAAAGAGTAAATTAATTCAGCTCATTAAGGATAAACAAGTCAAATACTAATTTATGCAATTTAATTAATTTAATTATTAAAAACGAAAATATATTATTAATTTAAAAAAAAGAATGACCAATCAAAATGAACATATAAGATTTGATATCTAACTTACCATATTAATTTGTTATTAATCATTATAGTTCACCTCTCATATTTATATGATTCTATTTTTATGAAACAAATATATCATCATATCATCCATATAAACAAAAAAAAATAATTTTTTTCTCCATATGCCAAGATTTGAATTTTTAAAAACGAAATTAAATTGTAAAATCTATGAAAAAAAAAATTTAACGGGTCAAAAATTCACATTTGAGTAATATATTTCTTTTAACCAAAAATAAGTTCAACAAAAATTTAGACTGAGTAACGGGTCAGAATTTGAATATTTATATTCAATTTCATACATTTATTTTTTGAAATGTATTATTTTATATACTATAATAAGATTTTTAAACATTTTAATTTGCAACATATAAAATTAGTTTTACTTGATATTTTTCAAGAATATCATCAATATTTAAAGAATATCATCAATAAATATTCTAATTTGATTTTTGTAAACAAATATTTATAATAGGCAGTGGGTTAAATATAATATATTATATTAACAAATGAGTTATGATCCTTATAATTGTTTGAATATTTCTATTTAATTTCATATAATTCTTTTTTGAAATTCATAATTTTATATACTAAAAGAAATATTTTTAAAGATTTTAATTGGAACATTTAAAAATAGTTTAATTTAATATTTTAATGAATATCATAATTCATAAATATTTAATAGATTAAAAAGATAAAAAAAAATTATAAATACTATAATTTTCTAAAAAGATATATTTAAAATAGTTATAGTAGGCGGAGGGTTACATGTAATATATTATATGATATAAAATTATGATCCTTATAATAGAAGGCATGTTAAGATTATATGATCAGATAGATTAAATAAGGTTGACACCTCAAAATATTTGAAAATTTGATTGTGCAAGCAATTTTGGAAATAACGAATAATAGATTGTGCACGCAATATTTTCATTAGGATTCTAAAATAAAAATATAGACTCCACGCACGGGTTGAATTTGGTATATTATATACTAAATATATGTTCATAACATATTCGATTACGCGAATAATTGATAAATTCTGTAGTTACCTCAAACAAATCTCTATTTCAACAACCAAAGAATTAGAAATTGAAAAAAGAATTTTCTAAATTAATTCAAAATAATAGCTAACTATCTTAATTAATTAAAAATAATCTACGTTTTAGAAGCGATTCATTTATAATATTTTGATTTTTGATCGAACTGAATTATATGCAATCTCATTTTGTGGTTGTTAATAAAAATTTACTCATTTTTCAGACTATATTAATTTATTAAAATAATTTTATTTTCTGTTTTCATATCTTTAAAAAAAATCCATAATTGAGTATAATTAAAAAAAAGATATTCATTCTAATATTATATATAGGGACTGACAAAAATCTAATTATATTTTTTCAATTACTATTATAATATATCACAACTTTATTCTAAAATATATAATATATAAATTTTGTAATAAATAAAATTTAACCCGTACTGTAGTACGGGTGATGATCTAGTTTTGTTATATTAAAATACGGTTTGATTTTGTTATATTATATCAAACTTAAATCTCAAAATAGTAGTTTCAATGTAAAACTTGTGCACAAAAAATTAAATGAAATACTTTGAATGTTAAAATATTCTTGAAGAATTTTCTTTCGTCTTCTAAAATTAATTAATTAGTTAAATTAGTTGTAATTTTTTTTTGGCATTTTAACATTCTATATTAATTTTTTTCAATTTCCGATTCCGATTCTTTCGATTCTATAATTTAGAATCCATTTGAGTTTTTCAAAATTTTGTTTCGATTCCAATTCAGTTTTTTTTGCTTCGGTTCGATTTGGTTTGTTTCAGTTGGGTTATTTTGCCTAAGCCTAATTACGGACAATATTCAGGAGAGAACACAAATCCAAATGGACTTTAGCGACCGGACACATTAATACTTGAACTAAAACTATAAAATATTGCAAAGCTAATTACGGTTACGAAGCACTTTGTGGCTATTAGATAACTAATTAATCCAGGTTAACTATAGAGTTGACACATCTCTCTCACATGCCTCTCCAAGTTCCATTTAGGTTATCTTCTTCACTATACACTCATGATGTTCTCTTCCCAATCGCCGCCTCTGATCTCTCTTCCTCACTTCCTCACTTCCTCACTTCCTCAGATTAGGTAATACACATCCACTCTGTCTCACATTGTTAACATTGATAAACTTGGATTCACATCGTTTCCATTGGTTCCGAATCCCGATAATCATCTCTTTCACTAAATGATTAATTGCTTTCAATGAGAACCAACATCTTCTGAATCAATGTTTATACATTTGTTGTTATGAAATTTTGAATCTTCACTGAATCCGCTGTTCATTTCTCTTTTGCAGCCTTTGTTTTGTTATATTGATTTGGCTGTTATGTCCAACGATCTCTTGCCTCAGCCTTGTATGCAAATGGGTCAATTTATTAATGTTGATACTACTCCAGACTTGATTTCTAATCAGGAAATGAGATTGTCACAACCCATCTGTAGTCAGATCTCTGGGAGGCAGGATTTTCATGTAATGGTACCTAGTGCTGTTCGTTTAGGATCAGTTAATATGGATACAACTCTGTTACCCGGCAAGCGGAAATCTCCGTTGCAGCAATCTGTGCAAAATAAACGGATGGTACTACCTATGGAACATAGACCATGGGCGTCTGCTCCAATGCCGGTGCAGTTAACTTCTGTTTCCCCCAGGACACAGTATTTGCCTGTATCATTTGTTAGTAGGAATAGTTCTGTTTCTTGTAATAAACCCGGGAAGCAAACTGCGGCGAGAAAACAGACTTCGCAGAAACCGATGTTGCTGAAATCTCAGAGTGAGTCAGCTGGATCTGTTAGGTTTAAAATGAGAGAATCTTTAGCTGGTGCATTGGCAATGGTACAGTGTCATATGGAAGTTCCTAAAGAGTCGAAAAGTTTAGATAGTGAGACTGTAGCTAATCTTCTCGAAGGTCATGTTAGTGAGCCAGTGTCAGCTCTTTCTGGAGTTGATGTGATGGTATCTAATGGGAGCACAGAGATTCTGACCCTCAGTGATCCTAGTACTTTAGTAGGTGTCTCTGTTCAGACTGTGTTACCGGAGATTTTGACTATCACCAAGACAAGTGATGCCCAAGAAATTGTTGCACAAGAACCTGAGGCTTTAAAACCATTTGTGCAAGACAATGTTTCATATAGTGACAATGTGTTTTCAAAAGATGATCTTTTGCAAGGGAATGACCTCTCTTGGGCTCTTGAGTCGGATATTGATTTTACTGTCAATTGTCAAAATGATATGATTGGAGCAATGGCTAATGATGGGAGCCAGGAGAAATTGTTACTGGATCCACAAGTTTTGGCATTCGAAATAGAGGCAGAACTGTTTAAGTTATTTGGTGGTGTGAATAAGAAATATAAAGAGAAAGGAAGGTCTCTCTTGTTCAATTTGAAAGACAAAAGTAATCCTAAACTCAGGGAAAAGGTTATGTATGGAGAAATTGCAGCAGAGCGATTGTGTTCCATGTCAGCAGAAGAACTTGCTTCAAAGGAACTAGCCGAGTGGCGACAAGCAAAAGCAGAAGAGATGGCTCAGATGGTTGTTCTGCAGGACACAGAGGTGGATATCAGAAGCCTGGTAAGGAAAACACACAAAGGAGAGTTCCAAGTGGAAGTTGAACCTATGGATAGTGGCTCAGTAGAGGTCTCTGTTGGAATGAGTTCACTCAATTGGTCTCGGCCAAAGAATATTAAGAAGAAAACCCCTTCCATCACTAAAGCACATGGAATCAAGAATGAATTGAACGGCTCCAATGAGGGCACTGGGCCAATAAACGGAGTCACAATAGATGATGAGATGCAGACTGCCACTGGATCTCTTCCTACAATTGTCTCTCTTGATGAATTCATGTCATCCATAGATTCTGAATCTCCGTCTGTGTCAGATAATAATGATGTAGAGGCGCATTTAGTTTGTATATCACCCAAAGAAAATGCTAATATTGATCTTGGTACATCACCAGTTAAGGCTGAGGCATTTTCACCACTTAAGGCTGAGGATGGTGACACAGTATCGTTAAAGCCTGATTCTGATTTGAAATCTGAAATTATATCTGGTTTCATACCTGATGGTGAACGTGTATGGGAAGGTGCGCTCCAGCTGAGTGCTTCTACTGTGAGCTCTGTCATCGGCATTCTAAGAAGGTTTGTTATAAATGGTTTCATGAGTGGTAGCAAATCTATCTCAGTATTTTTCATTCAGTCTACATTTCCAAATTTGGGTTTGCATGTTTTAAAAGCTTTCTATGTGCTGATTAGTGAAAGACCCTTAACATGTTACTTATTTCTACTATTCCAGTGTTTATCTTTATCAGCTGCATAAGACGTTTTTGAATGGAAATGACTTAGCTAATTACAAGTTTTTCTGAATTTATAAGCTTCTCATTGGATTCATGCCATCCATAAAATCCATTCGCATTATAGAACGTTTGATTTATGTCAAAGTCTGTACATCTATTGATACCACGTTTTCTAATCTGATTTTTACTCTATGACAGTGGCGAAAAGACTACTACTAAAGAGTGGCCTATGTTGCTTGAGATCAAGGGTAGAGTCAGATTAGATGCATTTGAGAAGTTTGTTCGAGAGCTCCCAAATTCCAGGAGCCGTGCTGTTATGGTATTATTTAACACTCCTTACTTTTCTCGTTTTCATGCACATTCATGGAGACCTGTCTGCCTGGATAAAATAGAAGTCCCTGTTGTGTCTAATAATTGTTTAGAGTTTACTCGTTCTGTGTTTTGAGTCCCTGATAAACCTTGATTTTGTGTTACAGGTTATGACTTTCGTCTCTAGAGAAGAGTGCTCAAAGACAGACCAAGAGATCATTTCCGAGGTATGAGCCGTGGTAGTTAAGTAAGATTCTGAGTAGATGTGTTTAATCCAAATAAACAAATCCGAACCAAAAAGAAAGAAAGTAATCGATCAAAAATCAAAATCTTGATATATTTAGTGATGCTAGGTGTATTCATAAAATCGACCAGTAGTGCAAATATCAGTGATGCTAGGTGTATTCATAAAATCGATCCTGAATACACACGGTATTCAGGTCAATTTCTGATGGAGTTTGCTAACAAGGCCAAAGCACAGGGAAGATTTAAAGATAGTAAAGGTGCTCATTACTGTTATGGTTATTCATCCTATTCAGCTATGGTATTTGCAATGAATAACGGAATTCCAGTAGAAGCTGATTGAAAAGGTATTGGATGCCACATCGATCATATGTTTGTGGAACAATATAGTAACGAACTTTTTATCTCTCGGGAACTCGATGAAGTTAAGGTATGCAAGCATGTGTTGAATGATGTTCGAATATTTTCTGACATCAACCTTGCAGTAAAGTACCTAAAAATCCAACCCCCAAGTCCGGGGTGAATACAGCAATTGACCCGATTAGGGGTTGGATTTTTAGGTACTTTACTGCAAGGTTGATGTCAGAAAATATTCGAACATCATTCAACACATGCTTGCATACCTTAACTTCATCGAGTTCTCGAGAGATAAAAAGTTCGTTATTATATTGTTCCACAGACATATGATCGATGTGGCATCCAATACCTTTCCAATCAGCTTCTACTGGAATTCCGTTATTCATTGCAAATACCATAGCTGAATAGGATGAATAACCATAACAGTAATGAGCACCTTTACTATCTTTAAATCTTCCCTGACTTGAAAATGTGAGTCATCACCCCGGACTTGGATATGATTGAAAATGTGAGTCATTCTGTCTGATAAATTATGTATGTTGTTCTTTTGTTTTACGTTTGAATCTTTTTTAACTAAGATTTTATTTTTCCAATATTCAGGAAATTTACCGTGGGCCTACAAGGGATGATTCCATATTCAAAAGATGGCATTCCGTCTCCATTCGTTCGATAACATTTGTGAATGGGGAAGCAATTGCAGAGTGTAAAAACTCTCATGGTCCTAAGAGAGGAAATCAGGGTTATTTTAAGGCATCCCTGGATGTTATGATAAGTGACGTATATTCAAACGGATCGTTTAAATCTCCAAGTAGATTATTCAGGAATTTTGTCTATGGTGAGGTTAGGAAAGAATATGAGGTATGTTCTTTGTTTTCTTGTGGATTAATAGTTATTAATCATAGTTATTTAATTTTCTTATATCTGATGTTTTGTTTTCTTAAGTAATGTGACAAAAATTAACTTCCTTCTTAATTTTTCTTATTTTCTTTAGAAAGAAGTAGTTGAGTGTATAAGTAAAGAGTCTACATGCCCCACCACTCTCCCGAAAGATACATTACTTCGTATATTTGAAGGGATTTATCATAACACATCGGTTTGTGTGTGTCAATCTGAGGTATGTTTAAAACACTATAATTCTTTTCTATTTGATTATAGTCCTATTGAATGTAACAATTTGCATATTTTTGGGTGATCCAAGGGTAAAGAAGAAGTTATTGGAACCCCGATAGACCGAGCTCTATTTAAATGGGCTATAGAGGTTATTTTTGTAGTTTCATTTCTTTCATTATTTCAATATTTGTTGTTGTGTTGTCAACTATTTTTAATGAACCTGCAGCTACAAGCGAAGATGAATATCACTTATAACAAGTCTGACTCTATCACGTTAAAAGGTCCATGTGATAAATGCCTTCCGTGTAAGAAAGGGGTTAAATCAGTGCCGAAAGTTGAAGCCAAAGGCACTGCAGTGGAGGGTGTATGAGTTATAATTTTTTCTATCAACTTCTAGTTATAAGCATTAGTTTCTAACTTCTATTTTGGTCTTTTCATTTCTCAGAAAATTCCCTCTCTAAATGGGGTACGCATCCATTGGAAAGGCAAACCTGAATTCATTCTAGAAAAATGTCTTCTCGATGGTGCTGGAAAGGTTAGCAGCAGTTATTTATTTTTTATTTTCATTTTTTGTATTCATGTATGAAAATCTGTTTGGCAAAACCTAAATTCTGTCATTTCAGGAAAGAATACTTGAAGCTATCAAGAAAATGGCTGCAAAAAATTTAATCTGTATTGCTATTTGCACTAATTCGGAGATGAATCAGTTTGTTCCAGATGAAGATAATCGCAAACAGTGGGAATTAACATGTGATCGTCTTGATTTGTTGGCTGTATTTGGTATTCAGGTTTTTTTCTGAAACTTTATCCTTTATACAATCTTGTAATATTGTTATGCTGACTTAAATATCTTATTGTACTTTTGTAGAGTCCACGTATCTTACCTAAAGATGCTCTTGAAAAGCAGGTATGTAGATATATCTCAATTGTTGTTTATGTTTTGTTTGTTTTTAGTGATATCTAATATTTTCTTGGCAGGCTCCCTTGGATTTCGACGAAGGAGATGATGATCCCAGTTTGGATTATTTGGTTGATTTGGTTGATAGCACAATATGTCCATCAATTTCAAGTAATCAGGGTTTATAAAGATTCACGTTTCATTATTGTTCAATCACAACAAAAATTTCGTTATATTTCTGTGGAATTTTAAAGTTTTCGATTTTCTTTTCTAATATGTGATTAGGCTTCGAAGGGAATATGGAGGGGACGCCACAGGTTGAGGATGAGGTGAAACATATGTCTCCCTTGTTCCGAGTTTTCTTAAAAACATATGTAGCTCGAGCTGCTGAATTTCTTATTCATAATTGGGATCTCTCTTAGGTGGTTAGTTATTACTTCTCATTGGTTCTAATCAAATCTGATTGCGTGGTTTATTTTCTTTTAGCTTTTTGATCTGGATTGGTCTTCCTATCCGCCTACACTAGTTAAGTCTACTTGGCAATATGATTATGAAATAGCCCTTTTTGCTAGGATTGGACTCCACTGCCACAATTTTCAGAAGGTAACTCTCATCATCATCACTATTCTCTCTCTCTCTGTCTTTTGTCAAAAAGAAATTATAAGTTTTTACGTTTTTGACAGGGAACAAACTATAAGTTTAAACGCTTGGAAAAGTGTGGTACTCACTCGACTAGATACGAGGACTACTACATAACTTTCGAGGCAACGGATCCGACCAGCGGCTCGGTCTTCTCTTTTCAGACCATGTTAGGCAATGATTATCAGTATCTTACTTGGGGTATCGGTCTTACGTTGGCGAGCTTAGCCGCCAGAATCAAAGCAACACGTAAGAATCTATATTACCTCCATAAGCATAACAGTTTTTATTCGGGACTTACTGTTTTTGGAGATGAATTTGTCAAAAGAGGACTAACTGTTTATAAACATCACTTTTTAGATGGTACCGAGAGTGTGGATGAAGTTTGGGACATGGCTGCAATAGATGATTCCTACAAAGGTCCGATGCCCAAATGGTTTTCTGATGAGGCCTTGGTCCGTGACGATAAAAAGTTTTACGTGGTAATAAGAAACATCCTTCATGTCCACATTGGAGTTTTTGAATTTTTGTTCTAGTTTTAATAATTTTCTGTGGATCATCATCATTCGCAGGTGCAAGAATCAGAGCTGCATGAGAATGACTGGCTGCAACTGCTCATGGAAGTCGCCTTCTACTCCAAAACAGAGAGTGTAAGTTCTTGAATGTCGCAATTCTTGTTCTCTCCCAAAAAAAATAAAAGCAAGTGAAACTTGTTTGTCTCTTCCCCTCTTTACGCTTGCCACAAATGTAATTGCAGGGTGTAAGCGCTTGCAAACCCTTGGAGATCAAGAAGGTTGTTGTAGAAACTTTAGAAGAATACACAACAGAGGCTCGTGAGAAGCTCAAGGCAGATAATGCAATCTTCTACATAAGTTACAAGTGTATTGCTGATCCTTCAACACCCTGGGCTGGTGAGCACGACGCTATAATAAGGAAAACCATGGATGGGAAACCAGGGCACATGAGCCTTGAAGTTGCTGTCACTAAGGAACAAATAGAAGACAGAGAGACATGAGGATCTTGTCTGCTATATAATCTATCAGCTGCTATCTATTGGAAACTTTTTATCATGTTAGTGTTTATTATCTATGCACGGATGTTGTGTGTCTTTGCTTGTGTTTATGTCTTCGACTCTTTGGACTAGAACGGAGTGGGGTCTATGTTTAAAATCTCTACTGAAGGATTTCTATTTGCAATGCATAATTATTATGAGTAACACCCACAAGTGCATCTTCTCCTTACAGTTGAATGGTTGATTGAGATTATACATCACAGTTTTGTCCGAGACGGAGACATTTGCATATCAGTGGTCACTGTGTCCAATGTTGGCTTGGACGACTCGTGTCGTATGCCACCACGGGTATACGGCGTGGGGATGGGGCCTATAATCGCGATGCTACAATGGCTCTAATGGCCTTGCGACTTAGCTATCGTCTTTAAATGCTTTGGTCTCATTCACAGTAAATCTACTTTGGTTCTGTTCGGGTTAACTGTTGGATATTTTTGCTTTTTGCAATTGCAATTACCAAATTAAGATTGCGAACTAAGTCCTCGAATGTTTGTTTTTCTTTGAATTGTGAAGCTAAAAAAAACTGTGAGACAAGTTCTGTTAGATGAATTTATGCAGCCTCCGTAAAGTTTAATTATATGCGTTTCAAACGCACTGAACGCTTCGAACTTTTGACTAATCCAAGATGCACTGAATGCAAATCAGTGTGAGCAACTCTTTAGACTACCCGAAAGATTATATTCACTCACTTAGTCAGCTTTTAAACATTCTTTCTTTTGTTCACTCTCCAAGCTTTTTGCTTCTTATTCCACCTTTGGAGGGCAATCTTCTCCGACTTCCACTTTTGACTACGAAACCGTTCTCTCCCTTTTAGCCAATCGGAATAATCCTTCCGGGGCTCACACTCTATGAAATCTGCCAACTTCTCCACGTCTCAAATTATATTGACAACTAGATATTAACCCGCGGTACACCGCGGGTCTATATTTTATGTTAAGTATTTATTTGTAATTATTATTTTAAGTTTTTTTCTGAACATGTATGATTTTTTTTATTTATTTAAATGTATATCTATATATAGATTTGTATATATCTATAAATTGTAGGATTAGTCAATTTTAATTTCATTTTTGAAAATATAGAGATATAACAAATTTAAGAGTTCAGTACTCACTTATGGATAATTTTATTAAAATTAGATTTATAATACTGTTGACATAATATATGAATTTAGATTTTATCTGTAAATATTGATTCAGTAAATTAAAATTAACAATTATAGTATTATATATATGTATTTTGTGCAAATCAAATTTAAGAGGTGAATGTGTGTATCTGTTTAAATATTCTAAACTAAATAGATATAGTTTGATTATGTTAAAAAGTTTGTTGAATCACAGAACCTAACAGTGAGAATAGAGTATACACGTTTACTTATATATAGACATAGGAATGCGTGTGTTACATGTATAAACATGAAAGAACATCTTCAAGGTGAAGATTAAGCAGTGATTAGGTTCCTTGCAACTTCCTGAGAATCGAACATCCCGCAGAAATCCAGACTCCTGTTCAAATTATATCATCAATGGTGTCTGATATCTATTATGGCCTGTTCTTTTTTGAACTATTGGAGCTTTGAATAGATTAGAGTAGGATTGCTTTTTAGTTTACATGTTAATATATGTCCTGCATGAGCTCTGATTTCCATATTCGATGCGGATTGCTTCACCGAGTTCTTCTTTACTTGATTTCTGTAAAGAAAAGGAAGATTTTGGAGTAAAAAAGGACATTCCAATGGATTTTTAGTACAAAGAACTGAATTACCTTTGGGTCTAGAGGGGAAGTTTTAGATTCATACACTTGGCAATTTATCTTTCTGCTGTGATTTTCTTTGACTATCCTAGTTTTTGAGGAATCGATGGGATTAGTCTGCAGAAAATGTGTGTGAGAACGTTTTAGGAAAGTAGATTCAATGAAAGTTTCAGAGCAATTGTACTAACGTTCTGGACTTAGTAGCATCATTCTCTTGTATGGCATCGGTTTTAGCCTGCAATGTGAGGCATCATTTAACTAAATGTAAACATGGAGGCGAAGAATCGATAAAGAGAACAAAGAGATTTGAGACTTACATTTGAAGAGCGTTCCTTTGCTCTCAGTGATATTCTGAATCGAAATGCCTGATGCAGAAAATTCTGTTAATAGATGAGGAACGATAATAACACTTTGAGTTTGTAGCTATTGGAAGATATATTATACCTGAAAATCTTGGGACCGTGGCCTATTAGTTTTAGGCAAAGATGTTGAAACAGGAGGTTCCATTTTAATCTGCCAGATTCAAAACATAAGCTTCTGAGAATGTGGTAATAAAGAAACTGAGATTGAAACACGAGAATATAAAGTACATTTTTGTTCCTAATGTGTCTTTTAGAACTTGATGCCACAATCTCCTCGGTCTCTGAGCTAACCTTGGACCTGAAACTCTCAAGAGAAAAAAGCCAACAAACAAACATTTTGAACACAAAGTCCTTTTTACCTTTGTCTTTCAGGTCTTTCTGAAATTCTAAGATTTGGTTCCTTTGGAACAGTTAGTTTGGTTCTTCTGGTAATAGGAGCCACCTTAAACAAAAATACAATGGCTCATTGGACCTATCAGTAGAAAGATATCTAGAATTAGCAAATTCAAAATCCATAAGAGCACAACAAACCTTAGCTTCCTGTTTTTGCCTTTTGGTGTCTTGGTTTTGTAATTTAGAGACTAAGATCGGAGATACATTTTCACCAAACTTGGCTAATGATCTCTGACATCTGAAACATCAAAACCACTTATTAAAACCAGAGAAAATGAAAAAAAAAAAGAAAAAAAAAAAGAAGAAGCAAACTCACGTTACTGACATAGTGAATGGTTTCTTCGTCACTCAAGTGACAATAATATAACACCTGCACTTCCAAAGCCATGTTGTAAGATTAAGCCACTAATAAAAAAAAACACAATGGCATCAAAAGGGCTTCTTAGTCTTACCGTAAAACTCCCTAATCGTAGCTTACCTTCCGTACCTGGATAGATTCCACCGCCCATCATCACGTACCTGTACAAGACAAAGAAGACACCTATTAAACAAATAAGCCAAGAGGAAAGGGGAAAAACTATCGGGGAATCTACCAATCCACACACACAACTCGAGACATTGTACACATCATCAAATCTAAGTAATTCTTCCCAAGTACTGATTTTACCGTAAGAACAATGAGGAAAATTGTGGTTGTGGTAATTGTTGGTAGAAGATTGTTATTTATAGAAAAGATTAGTCTAAGGTTTTGGCATAGGTTTCAGAATATCTTGGAGAGCAAACAGAAAAATCATATATATGAATCAAAAATTAGAATGATTCACACATGTTTAAGGAAAAATTGCGAAATCATTATATAACAAAAACAATATTCTTGTTAACACATTTACGTTAGAATATTCTAGATGTTTTGGTTTTAGGCAATATTCTGATATTCAAATATCTTGAGAATATGCTTGTTGTTAGTTTACAAATCTAAACAAAATCAAAACGTAATTGTTAATTTGGTTTCCTTTTTTGTAAATCTTGCCAAAAGATATATTAACGATTAATAGAAGTAATTAGTTTAGATGGCATAAATATTTGAAAATCATCCGGAGATAATGAGGAATAAAACCAATTAATGTGAGAATAAGTTAAGGAAACAGAAAATATGTGTAATTAAAGAGATAATTTCGCTATTTTATTACAAATTTCCTTAATAGTCTTATCTAGGATCCGAACAGAATTAATCCGGGTAAAACCCGGATCCAAATGAATTAATGCAAAAAAACCCTGTAAAAATGTATATGTAGATATTGACATGTATTTTGAATCTGAGCCCTAATTGACATGTCTAGTTACAAATGTAACATAGCCTAAACAATTCTTACAAAAAGGACTATTTGCACTTCTTTTACCCATACAACAATCATATTGACAATATTGTCATCACATTTTGAATACTGAATAAATATTTTTACTTTTACACTATGTAAATAAACGAAAAATTAGAGTTAAAGGTGATTCTATATTTTTCCTATTTTGATTTGTTTTTGCAAGAAAAAGAATATAGATGGATTACCTTTACATTTGACTAAATGTTTTGAGTCATTTTCACTTCATAATTTATTTATTTTGTTAGTTACACAATTTTTTAGAAATCAAAATATTTAAGTAACTTTTTATATATTTAAAATGCAATATTCATGATAATTTTATGTTTTAAGAACTTCAAGTTATATTATTTTTTATTTTAAAGCCGTCTATTGTGGGGGTCTAATCTTATATATATATATATATATATATATTGAAGGTTAAAGGAATAACATAAAATTAGCTTTAGTTGGATTCTAAGGGGGTGAATGGAGACGGCGGATTTCTAAACTGCGGGACGTTTTTCATGGGACCCATTGATATGTTACCAATCAACAAAATATTACAAGTGCGGGACGTTTTTTTTTATTTTTTGGGTTGCGAGTGCGGTTCAATTTTTTTTGTAAAAATTGTAGTTGGCCCGCTACAGTAAATTCACATCCTATTTGATGTGTTTGCGTTATGTGGTATCTACAGTCTATAGAGATATGTGTAATTTAAAAAATAGAACTTGTATTAACCATTTATTTAATTATACATGTTATTTTGGTTTGTTTTATTTCTTTGTCATATTGTTTTTTTCAAATATATGATATATAATATGTATTTGTATCACCATATTTATTTAAATTATGTTTAAATACTTAAAATATTTATGAAAAACCACATGTATTTAAATAATTAGTTAAAAAATATTCGAAAAATTAATAATACAAATATGTTATAGAAAAATTAAAATATTCGAAAATATTTTTCTGTTGTATCATATTGTTTATTATGAAATTTTTTATTTAATATATATATATATATATATATATATATATATACATATTTGAATGTTTAATTAAAATTATTTAACTACAATGTATATCCCGCACCGCTTTTTGTTTTTTACCAATCAACCATTATTTCGTACCGCTTATTTACAAAAACCGCATTTGTTCCGCATACCGCACGTACTGCAGTTGAACCGTACCGCACTGTCATACCGCTTTCTCCGCACAACAAAAACCGCGGTTACCATTCGGACAACTTCCTACTGAAATGAGTCGGCCCATTATTGATCCAGAGTGAAGCCTTAGTCTATGTCACTCCAACCATTAGTTTTACTAGGTAAGTACCCGCACGCTCTCACTTTATATTTTATAATTATAAGTATAGAAATGTAAACATTAGGTTAGTTTTTGTTAATACGCAACAAGACAAAAAATTTCTCATAAACGAGATTATACCCTGATACTAAACATATAAATCTACTTTTTTTTGGCATTTACATTTAGATTCCTAATAAAAAAAATGTTCTCACTACACATTATTTTTTTATAATATTCTTTCATTACTGTTATCCTTAAACCAAAAGAAGAAAACAAAATGCAAAAAAGATTGGAATACCCGCACTAAAATCAATGATCATGGTATTTAGGTACAAATGTTAAGCATTGATAATTGGGCCGTCGTTTCGTTTGAACAACGATGTTATTAGTTTATAGCAAATAAACAAATAGAACCAAACCTTGATAAGCCTTATTGATTTGTCGAAACATAAATGTAAAATAATTCTGGTCTTTAAATTTTTATCGTTGCCATTTTTGCAAAAACAACTAAAACAATACGAACTCCATCATTGAGGAATTTAGTCCAATAATTTGATGTTAGAGGTTCTTACGTTCTCCTCACCATTTTTTAATATATTATATAGAAAAGTTTTTAAGAGAATAACCTACTCAAAAAATTCCGGAGTATGAGAAACCCCAATAAAATAATTATATTGAAGAAAATAAGAAATAATATTTAAATATAATTAGTATTAATACAATTAAATATATTAATTTTTATAATATGTATAATTAAATAATATATGTTTCACTAAATTACATTAATTATTAGTGACACATGTCAAATGCTAAAGTGATGATGTGTCACTCATATGGAGAGAGTTGGCCAACTTTCATATATATAATTTCGGCCTCATATTTCAAAGTTTTAACTACAACTCAATTTTTGATTAAAAAAAAAAAAAACTACAACTCAATTGTTGTTAAAAAAAAAAACCCACAACTCAACAAGTTTCACTTCCATCGCGGAACTTTCATCTAGTGGTTGAACTTTGAGAAATGTTAGGTCCATTATGGATGAACTGAAAATCCGAAAAACAGAAAAATCAATTGAATCCGAATCGAAACCCGGATAGAACACCTCCATGTATATGGCTATATATACGACTATACGAGGGAGGTGTGTACTATTAAGGTTAGCCGAATCTATATAAAGAATAATGCTTTGCTTTGTTTTAGTCTCAAGTAGGCAAGTCGGTTATTTGTTAGAAATGTGTGTGTTGGAACCACGTTTGGTCCTACCCCTTGTGTAGCTAGATTTGGTTTGTGCCAAGTTAAGAAAGGTATTAGTGTCGAGCAATTTCAAGTAGGCGAAGTTTGGTTGTAAATATATTATAAATGATATCTAGTGGATGTTTCGAGGATGTATGCCCATTGCCGAATTTCGTTAACTTTATTGTGTGCTCATGTTCTTTGCTTTTACAAGAATGATGAGAGAATAAAAGGGAGAATGGCCGTAGCGAGAGAGAAAAGTCTTGTAACTTAAAGAGAAGAAGAAGAAGAAGAAAAAGAAGAAAATTGTTTTTTCATCAAGATACCTACATCAACAAGCAAATAGACACTTGATCATCTTATGCACATGCACACACACGATTTTCTGAAACTATTTTGATACTTATACAAAAATTTTATAATATTCATAATGATATTATCTGCTTATCGTATTTATGATTTAAGTCTTGAGAGAGTTACTTGGACATTTACAAAATTGTTGTTAAAAAATAATCGATACAAATGTTTTTCTATTTTTACACTATTAGAAAGATAACTAGATAAGATCATTTGAATATTATATTTACTTATTAGGAAGAAGTAAAATTTAAAAGATTTGTTACACTATTTCTCTATTTATAGATTCACATACCCAATTTAAAAACAAATCTCTTGCCTATATAAATCTAAACTTAATTCATTTTCTTACAACAAAACAAGATTCAATTATCAAAAGAACATTTAGGAATGGCAATTAAATATTTTTATTTACTAGTGTTCATTGTCTTGGCTTCCGATAAAGTTGTTGCCAAGAGACACTCTTCAACACCTAAATTAAGAAAAAGTGATTTCCCCGAAGATTTCATTTTTGGAGCTGCAACCTCTGCGTACCAGGTCGAAGGAGCTGCTCATGAAGATGGTAGAGGACCTAGTATATGGGATACATTCTCTGAAAAATACCCAGAAAAGATAAAAGATGGTACCAACGGATCTATTGCAGATGACTCTTACCATCTTTATAAGGAAGATGTGGGTTTATTGCATCAAATTGGGTTCAATGCCTATAGATTCTCCATCTCGTGGTCGCGGATTTTGCCTCGTGGGAATCTCAAAGGAGGAATTAACCAAGCTGGTATTGACTATTACAACAACTTGATCAATGAGCTTTTGTCCAAAGGAATTAAGCCTTTCGCCACCATTTTCCATTGGGACACACCACAAGACCTTGAAGATGCTTACGGAGGATTCCGTGGGGCTGAAATTGTGAATGATTTCCGCGATTATGCGGATATTTGTTTCAAGAATTTTGGAGATCGAGTGAAACATTGGATGACATTGAACGAGCCATTAACAGTGGTGCAACAAGGATATGTTGCAGGTGTTATGGCTCCAGGAAGGTGTTCACAATTTACAAACCCTAATTGCACTGGCGGAAATGGAGCCACCGAGCCTTATATTGTTGGTCACAACCTCATCCTTGCTCACGGAGAAGCAGTCAAAGTCTATAGAAAAAAATATAAGGCATCTCAAAAAGGTCAAGTCGGTATTGCTTTGAATGCAGGTTGGAACTTACCTTATACAAAATCATCTGAGGATAGGTTAGCTGCGGCACGAGCCATGGCTTTCACATTCGACTATTTTATGGAGCCACTCGTGACCGGTAAATAGCCGATTGACATGGTTAACAACGTAAAAGGCGGTCGCTTACCTACATTTACTACAAAACAATCTAAGATGCTTAAGGGATCATATGATTTCATTGGCATCAATTATTACTCGTCTTCTTATGCAAAAGATGTTCCTTGCTCAAGCGAAAACGTTACAATGTTCTCTGATCCTTGTGCTAGCATCACAGGGGAAAGAGAAGGAGTTCCCATCGGTCCAAAGGCTGCATCAGATTGGCTTTTGATATATCCAAAGGGAATTCGTGATCTTATCCTCTATGCAAAATAAGTTCAAAGACCCTGTCATGTACATAACCGAAAATGGGAGAGATGAGGCTAGTACTGGTAAAATCTTACTTAAAGATGGTGATAGGATCGACTACTACGCTCGACATCTCAAGATGGTTCAAGACGCTATCTCGATTGGAGCCAACGTAAAGGGATTTTTTGCATGGTCTTTGCTAGATAACTTTGAATGGGCATCGGGATACACGGTCCGGTTTGGACTTGTTTACGTGGATTTCAACGATGGACGTAAGAGATATCTTAAGAAATCGGCTCACTGGTTCAGACATTTATTGAATGGAAAGAAAAAGAATTGATGAGATATGTAGCATTCCATTGTTATTAATTCACTACAAGAAATTGAAGTATTAATAGCAGTATAATATAACGTTTAATGCATTTTTGCTATAATTAACATACCTCTTAATTTTAGATAGCGTTTGCTAAAATGTAAACGCTATGTTTGGTTGGTTAGATTTTAGTTTTGAGAACGCTTTTTAGAAGTATAAAATATATAGCACTGATACTCTTTAAAATGCTGTGCATTGTTGATACGGAAAAAATAATTTATTTGCCCACTAAGTATTTGCCAAAAAAAAAAGAAGCGGCTAACAAATTTTCATTATCCCTCTTACTCTCTCACTCGTTTATTCTCCCTCTCACTCCATTGTTTCATTTCTCAAGCTTTTTTTCTCAATATCTCTGTCCATCTCCAATCTCTTGCTCTTTCATACAATTCCCCAAATTCAGAACCAAGCTTCTCCTCCGACGAAATCCTTTAACCTAGATTCTAAACCAGATGAGTCATCTCTCCTCTTCTCCACCGAAACAAAACCCTAGTTACAAATTCAGATGACTATAGTGGCCGGAATCCGGTTATCCGATGGAATCTTTGTGGTGACCATCAGAATCTTCTGTCTGCGTTGGTGCCGGCGCAGAAGCTGAGACCGAGACAGAGAAGAATCTTCCACGGCGAATGGAATTAACCACCGGGAAATAAAGACGGTGTCGTTCTAACGAAACCGGTCGTAGATCTAGGGCTGGAGAAAACAGAGACGGCTGCAGAAGAAAAGCGAAAGTTGAAGGCGAGGAAGGTTTTGGCTCTAGTTTCGATTTAGCATCTCTTTTGTTGTTATATTGAATCGATTTAGCTTCTCTTGTGTTGTTTAAATGATGTATGTGTTACAAATCTGTTGTTGCGAACTAGTTAGCCTAATGATTCGATTGATTTTGGTGAACCCTAGGTGCGTACATGTATCGGAGCTATGGAGGAACGCAGATGTCATGATTTTTCTACAGAAGGTGAGGTGCAGATAACAACCTTCGATTGACCGTCTCGTTAGGCCTATAACTCGGAGTTGGTGTTTGTTTCCTTAACATTTTTAGCACTGCAATTTGTTTGGATAGGTTGAGAAATCGAGCATTCTTAGGGCCAAGCTTGGGGTACTTCAGTAATCATGAGAAATATGGATTTGATTTAGGAGAATCTGTGGGAGACTTGGATTTTGGAGAGGATTCAAGATGCAGGTAACATTCTTATGTTTTCCTGTTTTTACCATCTTAACTCTATTATAAACTATGCTTCTAATATGGAGTGGAATGTATGTTGCATGGAACACAATCTTCTATCCCTGTATTCTGTTGGAAATTAGATCAAAATTTGTTTTATCATTGTTTACAAGTAGCATCACTAGCTTTCCTTTATACTGTGCCTTTGGTTTCTCAGATTTGCTCTCGACATTGATCTTGATGCTCCAAAGGTGAGAATTCCTTTGAGGGCTGCAGGATCGTCCAAGTGCAGTAGCCATTTCCTATTGGATTTTGGTAATTTTACGTTAACCACCATGGTAAGTTTCTAGACTAGCCCTTCGAGTTTACTACTGTTTCTTTTCTGTTTTCTTATATTTCTTGTACAATTGCAGGATACTCGGTCTGAGGAGCAAAGGCAAAACTTATATTCCCGGTTCTGCATTTCGGGAAGAGATATTGCTGCTTTCTTTACAGACTATGGATCTGACAACCAAGGTTGCAGTTTAGTCATGTAAGATTTCACTAATCAGCCAATTCTTTCTCCCATTATCAACATTACTCTTTTCAATTTGATTTGTTGAGCAGTGAGGCTATATCATTGGAAGGGCTTCAACGAACTTGAAGAATGTGGAAGTGATGAGTTAAGCATAGAATTTAAATCCAATGATATGATGTCCTATCTATCTTGTTTGTGTGTTGATGATGAAGGAGAAGAAGTTTCAAAGATTGGAGGTCCAAAGAGTGTGAAGAATTCACAGGTTTTAAATACAAGAGTTGTATGAAACTATCTTTTAATTTGTACTTTTACTTTGTAATATATAGGTCTTTTGTATCATGGTTTCACATAAATATAATAAAATATGCCATTTTTATTTTTTTAAACTTGTCAAATTATCGAAAAATTAAAAAAGAAAACTGAGGGAACAATTACAGGAATTGTTACATATATAAAACAATTAATAACAAAGTGTAATTGCTATTGTAAGATATACAATTGCATAAAAGAAAACGCTATATCTTACGAAGATACGGTAGCAATTCTAAAAAACGCTATCAAAAGTCTCTGACCTATGATGACGGGCGATGATAGAGCGCTTGTTAAAACGCTATAGTATCGTTAGATAGCGTTATTCGGCCGCTACGGAAAGCCAATATTCTTGTAGTGTAACTATCTAGGTTAATACTTACACAATGCGTGGTTTGAAAAACATTTATTGTTGATAAACAAATAAGGTTCGATTTTATTGTATTATATCAATCTTAAATCTCAAAATAGTGGTTTCAATGTAAAATTTGTGCTCGCTAAATTAAATGAAATAGTTTCGATGTTAAACAAATTCTAGCTATATATTTTCTTTCTTGTTACGGCCTTCTAAAATTAATTAATTAGTGAAATTAGTTGTAATTATTGTTTGTTGTCAATAATGGTAATTTATTAGTAATTTAAAAATCCAATATTTTTGAAGAAAATTGATGATATAACACTCTATATTTATTATTAAATAAAAATGGTTAAAATTCTATAAATTTAGTTCATATTGGTATCACTCTAATAGTCTAATTCATTTGGCAAAATGTTTTTGGTTAGTTAAATATTAAAACAAATTTTCATATTTAATTAACCGGTACAACGCATCAGATTTTATTCGCAACGGAGAAGCGCTGGATGAAACCTCAAGTTATATATAGCAAGTATAACACGAGCTTATCTTGGATTAATGCATCTTCTGTTTCTGGCGGTGCGTCGATTGCTCGGGATTATCTTTGTAATGACCTTAATCATATTCGAGAAGCTTTTACTCCTACCCCATGCATGTCAGGTTACAGCCGAGTTACATTGTTATGGGCTCTGAAAGTTTAAGCAGGGTCGTACTTACCTTTTATGAAATAAGGAACTTGCCTACGGTCCCTTAGTTGAAACCAAAACTTAGTGCATCCATTACTACAAAAATCAATTAATGGTTTTGTTGGTTCATATGTTTAACTCTCTCTCTCTCAAAGTTAAGAGTTCGATCATTTGCTGAACATTACCTTCTTCAAAAATTTATGAATTTATTTTATGTTTTAGTTCCATATCATATACTTTATATCCTTTTGGTTTTACATTAGTTGCTATATAGATAGTTGCAAAATATATTAATATATAGTTATGTGATATATATAAAATAAACAATGTATGCATCTAATTTACGAAAATTAAAGGATAATTTAGTTTAAAATTTGTTCATCTAATAAAGTTAGCCTTCTCCAGAATACATGTCTATCTGTAATTTATATAATTATATTTATTGTGTTTTAAATTGTATACTTTGTGACAAAATTCAGTTAGTTTTTTTTTATTTTAGTTTAGAAAGTCGATTTGGGTCTAATAATCCAATTGTGATAGGTTTTTTTTTGTTAAACGGAATTAGATTTTTTTTTCTGTATTGGGCCCCAAATAATACTGGGCCGGCACTGTATACATGTTACTAGAGTAGAAGTGATATCAGGTAATTCACCTGCCTTAACGACAATTATACAACCTCGGTCCTCGATTATGGCCTCAAGCCTCGATATCGATTTCTTTTAGATCATATACGTATTGTGAAAATTCCTTTTGAGGTTTGTAATTTCTATATCGTTAATGTTGCAGCAAATACTATTGGAGGGAAGATTGCAAAGTGTGATGGACTGTTTTGAGTCTTACATGGCACTTGGAGGACCGGGCTCCGTAATCAAGTGTTGGATGAAGCTATACCTCACAAAGTTACAATGATTTTTTCAACTTCAACTCTAAAATAATTATAAAACAATTACCCAAAATATTAGATTTAAGCGTAAAACTACATTGATTTAAACAAAATTAGTCAACTGTTTCTTTACCTCACTTAGACGACACGATAGTAACGAAGTGTAAACGTTGTTTTGATAATTTGAGTCCATAAACTCAACACGGCGACAACGAAGTGTCATTTTGTCTTTACCAAACATCGTCATTTTGTTGAGTTTATGGATTCAAATAACCAAAACGACGTCGTTTAGTTGAGTTTATAGACTCAAATCAATACAATAAAAATACTAAGTTTCTCTCCAGTGCTGACACCTCAGCTTTTTGGAGTGTTCTGGAATTGACACATCAGCCATTTTATCTTCCAATAAAAATATTTCATTAATATGATTCAGCTTTAATTTTTTACACATCATCCATATTGTGTGTGGGCTTAGTTCTAGGTTTGGAATAAGTTGGGCTTAGTAATTGGTTAACGTTTAGGCTGTTACGTTGGTTAGTTAAGTAAGATATGATTAAGAAGGTTGGTTAAATTAGAGAGAGGATCGTGAGATGTTTTTTACACTTTCTCTTCCTTCGTTTCATCTTCTTCTCAGAGGGTGTTAGCTCCAAACCTTGTAACAGAAAACTCCGGTCGTTAATTCCGTTGAGATAGTGGCTCGCTTAGGGGAACTTGTTAATTGTTCGTGTCGTCTATGGTTTTATCTTCTTTCTTTATCTCTTTCATTTTCATGAGCGATATAGGGTGAATCCGTGTGAGTGTTCGGTGATCGGTTTCGTGACTGAACATTACATTCTGATTACTTTTTTACCCATCATTGCTTCCAAATTCAAGCGACACTCAATTTTTCTCCCAATCGGAATCAGAGAACTTGATTTGACCGGGTTTCTCATTCCTTTGTGTCAACAGTGAAGCTTCTCTTCTCCAATAAGCTCGAGATTGACAAGGTTTTGATTTTGAACGATAGAAATTTGAAGTGGTGTTGAATCGGTGAATGATATTAGAACTCTATCGTCTTGATAAAAAGCTATGGCTGAAACTAAAATACTTTAATTTTTGTGAAAATATACTTTAGCTTTGATAATTGTTTGAGAAACTGATACGGTTCATGATCTGCAGCAGAAGTGGAAATAAATCACTTATACGATTAAGAGTCGACGGTAAGAACTTGAGAATCTAACTAATTTAGACCCACAATTCAGTTGTCCTTGTCTCTGATCATGAACCTAATTAGTTAAGATAATGCTTATTAGTACAAAGAGATTCGAGAAACTTTTAGAAACTCTAAAGCGTTTAGAGTGTCTCTGCAACTTGTAGCCTATTAATTGTTAGAATTTGGATTTGAAATCCAACTTTTAAAAATACTAGGTCAAAATCAAAGTAGTATAATTGCAAAAAAAATTCCAAAGAAAGAGGATATGATTATGGTCTAATTACAAATATGTTTACTTGTCTAAGAGCTTGATAACATTTATACCCTTCATCTTTGTTATGTCATGAGTAATATAAATAATGTTATCCACATAAATTCAGGCCATAAGAGAACATAAAGAACACTCAAAAATAATAAAGTTTGTTACATTGACTTTATTATTGAAATCAGTCAATCTGTCGACCACGAGAGACATCAATCTCTTTTGAGAAAAATCATAACAGTCGGGATTTAAATTCAAATATACATATTGGGTTGTCGATTATGGTTTGAATGTAAATTATGGTCTGGTTTGGGTCCGTTTGGCTTTGGTTGGTTTGGTTCGATTCAGTTAAAATGCTCACCCCTAATAATATTGATCCGATCTAATTCAAAAATTGAATTATTTTAAAGTTAAAAACTGTTCATAGTGTTCAGATTTTAACGAACAAAAATGCACAAAAAGTTTTTTGATGTAACTAATTATTGTGATCTAATAGTAAAAAACTGTATTTTAAAAAACTCAAAAGATATATTAAATATTTTTCGTTTGATTCAAATTATGCTTGTGTAGCACAAATAAATTTAACAGAAAGAATCTAAGTTTTTTGAAGTATAATAATCGTTGAAAAATATTTACAAATATTATAAAAATAATTTAACATTTGTAAAAAGTTAAACATATACTAAAAACATGAAATAAAAACAAACAAATACAAAGATTAACTATACGATATTTGTTTTGTAAAAGTAAGATACAAAATTATTTATCAATGTATGCATAAATAAAATATTAAATCAAAACAATTAAAATACGAGCAAAGGTAAAATACAGAATCCGAAAAACTTTTAAATTTTACCATAAATATTTCTATTAAAACAAAATTAATTTACAAAAGATATATTCGGCGTAAACCACTCGTTAAATTCACCTCATTCATGTTGTTCACTAAAACCCATTTGATGTCAAAAAAACTTTTTCAAAATATAGTTATTCTGTTGTAAATATTAAATTATGAAATAAATTAGAAATTCATTTGTCATTATAAAAAAGAGAAATTGTTAAAAATGCCCCTTTTTCAATACCCCTTTTCAAAAATGCCCCCTTTGAGAGTCCATTTTTAAGTTTGCCCTCTTTTAATTTTTAATGACCATTTTACCCTTATTTGAAACAAAATTAGGTCCACAAAATACAAAATATTTTTTGGCGGGAAAAGTGATCCCGCAATTTTCCCGCCAAAACACTTGTAAAAAACCTTTAAAATACCTTGTAAAATTTTCCCGTAAAATTTTTTTCCGCCAAAAAATTTTCCCGCCAAAAATTTTTTTTTGCGGAAAAAGTGATTCCGCAATTTTTTTTTTTGGTGGGAAAAATTTACAAGGTATTTTAAAGGTTTTACAGAGTATTTACAAGTGTTTTGTAAGGTTTTACAATGTATTTTAAAAGGTTTTACAAGGTACTTATAAGGTTTTATAAGGTATTTATAACTTGTAAAACCTTATAAAAAACTTGTAAAACCTTATAACTTGTAAAAACCTTATAAAATAGCTTGTAAAATCTTATAATATCTTATAAATACCTTGTAAATACGTTGTAAAACCTTTTAAAATACATTGTAAAACCTTATAAATACCTTGTAAAAAACCTTTAAAATACCTTGTAAATTTTTGGCGGGAAAAATTTTCCCGCCAAAAATTTAACGCCAAAAAAATTGCGGAATCACTTTTCCCGCAAAAAAAATTTTTTGGCGGGAAAATTTTACAAGGTTTTTTAAAGGTTTTTTACAAGTTTTTACAAGTGTTTTGGCGGGAAAAATTGCGGGATCACTTTTCCCGCCAAAAAATATTTTGTATTTTGTGGACCTAATTTTGTTATTTTCCTTATATATTTGTGATATCTTTTATTAAAAGAAGGGTAATTTAGTCATTTTGTACATAAAAAGGGGTATTTTTAAAAATGGACAGCCAAAGGGGGCATTTTTGAAAAGGGGTATTAAAAAAGGGGCATTTTTGTGAGTCTCCCTATAAAAAAATTTAAAATAATTGTGTGTATTATTTGACAAATACAAAAAGGTATACGTAGGGTGTCAAAATGGTTAACCCAACTTTACTCAACTCATTACCCAATGAGTTTAGAGTTAAATGAGTTGATGGGTTGACTCAAATTATTTTACTAAATGAGTTGAGTCAACCCATCAACTCATTTAATTTGATGGGTTAGAAGGTTAAATGGGTTGACTCATTAACCTATTAATGTAATAAATAAATTAATAATTAAAATATAATAATAATAATAATAATAATCAACGTCACTATTATTTGGCGGGAAAATCACGGATTTACGTTTTTGGCGGGAAAATTTTATATTCTCATTTTTGGTTAAAAATTATAAAAAAATTTGGCGGGAAAATCACGGATTTACGTTTTTGGCGGGAAAATTACGGATGTACGTTTTTGGCGGGAAAATCATACATCTCATTTTTGGCTAAAAATTATAAAAAATTTTGGTGGGAAAATCACGGATTTACGTTTTTGGCGGGAAAATTACGGATTTACGTTTTTGGCGGGAAAATTTTACATTCTCATTTTTGGCTAAAAATTATAATAAATTTTGGCGGGAAAATCACAGATTTACGTTTTTGGTTAAAAATTATAAAAAAATTTGGCGGAAAATTGCGGATTTACGTTTTTGGCGGGAAAATCATGAATTTATATTTTGATGGAAAAATTGTGTATTTACATTTTTGGCGGGAAAATTAAGGACTATATTCAATCGGTTTAGAAGTTTTGGTTAGACTCAAATTGAAATCGGTTTAGAGATTTGAATTGGTTTGATTCAATTTAACAAAAATTGATGGGTTAAATGGGTATACCGTATACGTAACAACACTACCGTTGTCGTCGTACAGTTTATCTTATGGCCGTAATAAATGTAGGATTGTGTATTTGTGTAAGTTTTAAGAGCTTTAAACTTTAAATCAATAACAAATGAGTTGATTGACATATGTTCCTCATCTATTACTTTAGGTCCATTCTCGTTTCATAAGTATGATCCTAACCGATTGCATCAAATTTATTGTGAATATCCACTTCGTTTCCAGCATTATTATTTGGTAATGACTAATGATTGATATCGTGAGTGAGAGTGCAACTAAAGGGTTTCGTTTTGCATTAAGTTGTTGTTAGTGAGTGTTACGGTGAATAGAGAAGTTCGCATGCTTGCATGTGTATCCTGATTGTCTTACAAAGGTATATATAAAAAAGCTATACAAGTATCTTACAAAGCCAAAATTTTCTGATTGTTTTAATAAGTTTCATATACAATCGATCTTCTAAAGGTCCTTCATGTCAAACTCTTGGTTTGGGAAAAAGAAAGCAATGAGAAAACTAAAGAAGGAAAACCATTGTTTTCAATATGCTGCCAAAATGGAAGAGTAACTTCATCAGCCGTAAGAAATCCCCAAGAACTTGTAGCAGAGTTATTAGAGCATGTGCAGTGGGAGGTTCTCTCAAAGTCTCTCAAAATATATTATTATAATATACATAAATTAGTTTAATTGTATAATTAAATTTTAAGTAATAATTTTTTTTTAAAACCAATTACATGTTGCCATGTGTGACATGAGTCTCTCAAGAGGTTCTCAAAAGTTCTCATATGAGAACCCATGCTCATGTCTCTCTCTTACTTTTTATTATTTTCATTTTTTATATTCTTGAGAACACTTGTGAGAACCTCCCACTGCACATGCTCTTAGAATCACCAGTCTTTAAAGAGACTATAAAAGTTAACAAGTTGGTGTTAGCTTTCACTTCTATTGGAGCCAAAGTGGATCATTCAGTCATGTTTGGTTCCAGTCCCTGCACATTAAGAATTCAAGGGAAATTTATTACATATTAGAATCACTACTACCGCCTCGAGAAAAACCTTCAAAATTTGGTCAACTATACATCCCAATTCTAAAAAAGGTTATATGAAAAGAAAGTAATCACTAAAGGGGAGAAGGTCTATTTCATCAGTTTGTGCTTTCTTTTTTGCGATATAAAATTAGTTTCAAACACAATTTAAGAAAATTTTCCCGCAGCGTAGCGCGGGTTTTAACCTAGTTGCGTTTAAAATTAATAATTGAGTTTAAAAATTTTAAATATTGAAAAGCTAATTACGGTTACGAAGCACTTTGTGGCTACTAAAAGATACTAATTAATTAGATTAGACATAAGAGAGGTTAATTATAGAGTTGATACATCTGTCTCACATGCCTCTCTAAGTTCCCTTTAGGGTTTTCTTCTTCACTATACACACTCAATGCTCTTCTCCTCCCAATCGCCGCCTCTGATCTCTCTTCCTCACCTTTCAGATTAGGTAATTCACATTCACTCTTCTCACATTCATCATCTGAATCAATGGTTTATATATTGTTATGAAATCTTCACTGAATCTGTTTGTAATTTCCATTTTGCAGCCATTGTTTTGTTACATTAATTTGCCTGTTATGTCCAACAATCTCTTGCCTCAGCCTTGTATGCAAATGGGTCAATTCATCAATGTTGATACTACTCCAGACCTGATTTCTAATCAGATCTCTGGTGGGAGGCAGGATTTTCATGTAATGTTGCCTAGTGCTGTTGGTTTAGGATCAGTGAATATGGATACAACTCTGTTACCCGGTAAGCGGAAATCTCCGTTGCAGCAATCTGTGCAAAATAAACGAATGGTACTACCTATGGAACATAGACCATGGGCTTCTGCTCCAATGCCGGTGCAGTTAACTTCTGTTTCCCCCAGGACACAGTATTTGCCTGCATCATTTGTTAGTAAGAATAGTTCTGTTTCTTGTAATAAACCCGGGAAGCAAACTTCGGCGAGAAAACAGACTTCGCAGAAACCGATGTTGCTGAAACCTCAGAGTGAATCAGCTGGATCTGTTAGGTTTAAAATGAGAGAATCTTTAGCTGGTGCATTGGCAATGGTACAGTGTCATATGGAAGTTCCTAAAGAGTCGAAAAGTTTAGATAGTGAGACTGCAGCTTATCCTCTCGAAGGTTATGTTAGTGAGCCAGTGTCAGCTGCTTCTGGAGTTGATGTTATGGTATCTAATGGGAGCACAGAGATTCTGACCCTCAGTGATCCTAGTACTTTAGAAGGTGTCTCTGTTCAGACTGTGTTACCGGAGAATTTGATTATCACCAAGACAAGTGATGCCCAAAAAATTCTTGCACAAGAACCTGTGGCTATTAAACCGTTTGTGCAAGACAATGTTTCTTATAGTGACAATGTGTTTTCAAAAGATGATCTTTTGCAAGGGAATGACCTCTCTTGGGCTCTTGAGTCGGATATTGATTTTACTGTCAATTGTCAAAATGATATGATTGGAGCAATGGCTAATGATGTGAGCCAGGAGAAATTGTTACTGGATCCACAAGTTTTGGCATTCGAAATAGAGGCAGAACTGTTTAAGTTATTTGGTGGTGTGAATAAGAAATATAAAGAGAAAGGAAGGTCTCTCTTGTTCAATTTGAAAGACAAAAGTAATCCTAAACTCAGGGAAAAGGTTATGTATGGAGAAATTGCAGCAGAGCGATTGTGTTCCATGTCAGCAGAAGAACTTGCTTCAAAGGAACTAGCCGAGTGGCGACTAGCAAAAGCAGAAGAGATGGCTCAGATGGTTGTTCTGCAGGACACAGAGGTGGATATCAGAAGCCTGGTAAGGAAAACACACAAAGGAGAGTTCCAAGTGGAAGTTGAACCAATGGATAGTGGCTCAGTAGAGGTCTCTGTTGGAATGAGTTCGCTTAACTGGTCTCGACCAAAGGATATTAAGAAGAAAACCCCTTCCATTACTAAAACACTTGGAATCAAGAAAGAATTCAACGGCTCTGATGAGGGCGATGGCCAAATAAACGGAGTCACTATAGATGATGAGATGCAGGCTGCCACTGGATCTCTTCCTCCAATTGTATCTCTTGATGAATTCATGTCATCCATAGATTCTGAATCTCCGTCTGTGTCAGATAATAATGATGCAGAGGCGCTTTTAGTTTGTATATCACCCAGAGAAAGTGCTATTATTGATCTTGGTACATCACCAGTTAAGACTGAGGCATTTTCACCACTTAAGGCTGAGGATGGTGACATAGTATCGTTAAAGCCTGATTCTGATTTGAAATCTGAAATTATATCTGGTTTCATACCTGATGGTGAACGTGTATGGGAAGGTGCGCTCCAGCTGAGTGCTTCTACTGTGAGCTCTGTCATCGGCATTCTAAGAAGGTTTGTTATAAATGGTTTCATGAGTGGAAGCAAACCTATCTCAGTATTTTTTATTCAGTCTACATTTCCAAATTTGGGTTTGCATGTTTTAAAAGCTTTCTTTGTGCTGATTAGTGAAAGACCCTTAACATGTTACTTATTTATACTATTCCAGTGTTTATCTTTATCAGCTGCATAAGACGTTTTTGAATGGAAATGACTTAGATAATTACAAGCTTCTCAATGGTTTCATGCCATCCATAAAATTCATTCGTATTATAGAACGTTTGATTTATGTCAAAGTCTGTACATTTATTGATACAACGTTTACTTATCTGATTTTTACTCCATGACAGTGGCGAAAAGACTACTACTAAAGAGTGGCCTATGTCGCTTGAGATCAAGGGTAGAGTCAGATTAGATGCATTTGAGAAGTTTGTTCGAGAGCTCCCAAATTCCAGGAGCCGGGCTGTTATGGTATTATTTAACACTCCTTACTTTTCTCGTTTTCATGGACATTCATGGAAAGCTGTCTGCTTGGTTAAAATAGAAGTCCCTGTTGTTTTTGTTGATTGTTAAGAGTTTACTCATTCTGTGTTTTGAGCCCCTGTGAAAACTCGTGTATCCATCATGGGTACTGTCGTGGTCGTACTGATAAACCTTGATTTTGTGTTACAGGTTATGACTTTCGTCTGTAGAGAGGAATGCTCAAAGACAGACCAAGAGATCATTTCCGAGGTATGAGCCGTGGTAGTTAAGTAAGATTCTGAGTAGATGTGTTTAATCCAAATCAAAATCAAAAATCAAAATCTTGATATATTTATATTTGACTGAAAAACTGAATCTGAACAAAAACTGAACCTTTACATACTGATAGTTATAGGTTTTAGTTTGGTTCTTATTTTTCACAAACTAAGGTTATCTAGATGTCTGGATTGGTAACGAAATCGGGAAATGTGGCTTTGTTATTAAACAGGTGGTGGATTCGTACACTAAAGATGAGAGGGTGGGTTACGCAGAACCGGCTTCAGGAGTTGAGCTATACCTATGCCCAACCCGTGGGAGAACCGCAGAGATTCTAAACAAGATTGTTCCGAGAAACCAACTCGATTTCTTGAAATCTTTAAATGATGATGGTCTTATAGGTGTTGTTGTATGGAGAAGACCACAATTTAAAAAACCACCACTATCTAACAACAACTCTCACAAGAACCACCGTGAAAAGGGTTCTTCATTAACCACATATAATATGTCGTCTCGTTACAGTAACATGCTACAGGTCAACCATGATGATGGTGATGATGTGCCACCGGGGTTTGGTCCAATGACCATGGCTCGTGATGATGATGATGACTTGCCTGGATTTAACTATTTTTCTGGTGGAGATGTTGTCATGAACCGGACAAGCCGGTCTGTATCCGTGAGAAAGCTTATTCAAAAATATGGAAAATCTGAACCTTTGAGAAACCAAAGTTATAATGATAATGACAATGATATACTACCAGAGTGGCAGCCTCAATCGAACCACACTCTTGGGGTTAATCATGTAACTGGTGGCTCGATGGTTAGACCATGTAGTGAGTGGTGGTCTCATCAGGATGGCAGAGGGGGATATTAATTGCTTTTTGTTTCACTTTAGCAATTTTGTTTGTGTTTTGCATTTTCTGTAGCAGGCAACATAAATGCTCTTCAAAATTTTGTGATTCTTTTCTCTCAAAAAGACAATGAATTTGGCATTTTGTTAGTAAGATGGGCTTGCGTGGCCCGCTAATATATTGCTCCTCTCCGTTGTTTATTTCTGTAACAAAAGTATAAGTGGAAAAAGAACTAACATAATCAAACTTATAAATGCAAAGAAAGAGGAAATGAACATAAACGACAATCAAAAAAATTATTTTACCATTTTCCTCTTAAAATAATAATAACAAACATATAAAAGCACATCCCATAGACTAATGTTTGATAGGTTATATATCCAACTACTCGCAAACGCTATGTTTACAGGCGGTTGTGGTTGCTAGCGTTTAGCAATAATTATAAAAACTGCTTTAAATCATTTTATACCGTTCTAAACCTCCATATTTCATGTAATACCCATTCTTTATTTTTTACATTTTCTTGGTCAAAAGCACACTAATCCTAGGCAAAAAACCAAGAACCGAAGATCCAATCCGAACCCAACCCAAAAATAAGGTACCAAACTCGAACCATCAAAATATCCTACCGGAACCTAAACTTCAAGACCCGAAAACCGAATAAGTATATGAACATACCCGAAATATAAATATATATATCCAAAAGAATTAGTATTGTTTATATTTATATTAATCCAAACACCCAAAATTACAATTTTCTTAGGTATTTCAGAGACTTTCAGATAATTTGGGTGTACAAGTACAATTTTTTCTCGTATTTCGGGTAGATCCGAGTGATACAAATACAAACAATTTCGAGTATTTTGGATATTTTTGGATATTTCGAATACTTTTTGTATAGATTCAGTACAAATACTCATCCAAAATCGCATCTCTTTTTTTCTTGATTTTTCACATGATCTCAATATAAACACGAGAATCGATCTGAACTCGAAAACAACTATATCGAACCCGAACCAAAAATTTGAAATACCCAAACGAGACTTAAATCTCAAGATCCGAAAATCTGAACTCGAATGGACCCGACTCGAGCCCGATCCGAATACTCAAATGCTCGGCCCTAATTTTCCGGACTTGAAAATGAAGCGAAGTGGCTTTTGTTTTTCGGTCATTCAAATAAATTTTAATGCATGTATTTATCGACTTATCTTTGAATTTTTTTTCACTGGCTCGATTCAGAATTTGGATATCAGCTTTATTTATTTTTTCTCTCGGGAGTCTCTTTTTCAAGATTAGGATCATTCACTGGTCAAATTTGGTGAATATGATTTCCTGATTTAGGGTTTCTCTGCATGCCCCTAGAATCAGCAGTCTAAAGCAATTACCATGGTGTCTCCGAAGCAGCTCGATTTCTCTTCCTCCGGTGGTGGTGGTGACTCCGACGACACCCTCTCCCGTCGAAAATCTCCACGGAATCCTCCCTCAAAGCGTGCTGCTTCCGACGCATTAGAAGCAGAAGCAGACGAGGAGACTATGAAAAAGAAGAAGAAGATGAAGAAGAAGAAGAAGAAGAAGACAGTGGGTCCGCCGATGTTCGTCCGGATCTGGAACGAGGAAGATGAGCTCGCTATCTTAAAGGTAATTAGTAATACTTTCTTCATCTTCTTCATTTATACTTTTGATTTGGTTGCATTGTGATTTTTCTAAAACCACATTCGAATTGCTTAGGGATTAGTTGATTACAGAGCTAAGACAGGATTCCAAAGCAAAATTGATTGGGATGCGTTTTATCGTTTCCTCGGAGTTTCAATCGCTGCGAAATTCTCCAAGGAGCAGGTTTTGAGTAAGATCAGGAAGTTGAAAAGTAGATTCCTTGTCCATTTTGAGAAAATCAATCAAGGGGATGATCCGAAATTTACTAGGGCTAGTGATTCTGAAGCCTTTGGGTTCTCCTCGATGATTTGGGGACAAGATGACGGTGAATTTGGTAATGATGATGGTATGGATAAGGAGCACGAGACACCAGTTAATGGGGCAGCGGAAAACGGGACTGCTCAGAACGAGAGTGGGGAGGAGATGTTGAAGGAGCATGAAGAAACCTTAAATGAGAATGGTGCAACGAAAATAACAGACAACGGGACTGCTCGAAAAGCACAGCAGAGCGAGAGCGAGGAGGAGATGTTGAAGGAGCACGAGGATGCGGTGGCTAATACTGAACCCTTAAATGAGAATGGGGCAGCGAAAACAACAGACAACAGGATTAATGAGAATGGGGCAGCGAAAACAACAGACAACGGGACTACTGCCGGAAAGGAGAGTCATGACGATGATGATGAATTACTCGCTGTGAGGGATGCATTTGAGGCTGTAATGTTGCAAGGTTTAAGTGATTATCAAAAGAAGTTGCAGCTTGAGAAGCTGATGAACCTTGGAACTGGAAAAAGAAGAGAGTTGAGCGATGAATGGAAAGCGTTATGTGTTGAGGAACGGAAATTGAATATCAAGAAGCTTAGATTTTCTGCCAAGCTTGCAGAGGCTGCAAATGATAGTTAGATGAACCAATAAGCCGTTATTGCATTTGGTGTTGTTTAGGTTCTTAGTAGTCGTAAGTTTTCGAATGTTGAGTGTAATTATCTTTGGATGTTGCTTTGTTCGTTTGGTGCTCTACTTGGGAAAGTGTTTGTAAGATATTTTAGTTCTTCCTGAAGTATCCAGAGGAGCCATGTCCGTTGTTGGATATATAATAAATTTCATAACTTTCTTCTGGCACCAATCTATCAATGAAGTGGCAAACCATTTTATATTCCCTAATGTAAAGGCATTTACAATGTAATTTTACATTTTTACCACTGAAAAGGACCAAAGAAGTGAACAAAGAAACACCCTCCCAGAAACACCCTGACCAAATAATCAAATAATTTTTCTTGTTGGTAGTCACCAAACCCTGCAATTCCCACTTCCTTTGCAACAAACGGCTTATCCATATGAATCCGACAGAGGAAGACAAAAAGGCTTTTAGTCTTGTGATGTAGCAGAGTATTCAAAAAGCAAACGTTTGGAAGGTGCAGATTGCAGGAGGACACGCAAGCGGCTTGTGAGCTGATAGATAAGTGTCCATTGCATCGCCATCTCAGAATCTTTCATCTGTCTTACCACAGAGGCCTGTAAATAAAAGAAGGCAAGAACAGGGTGGTGCATGTTTTGGTAAGTTTCTACAAAGAAGTGTGGGATATAGAGAAGAAAGAAGATTTCAATGTTTATGCCTGACCTGAAGACGTTTTCCGAGCTGCACTTCAACTTCTGTTCCAAATGAGATGTTGCTCGCCAGAGACTTTAGAGGATCAACAGTTGGATCAACAGAGAGTAAACTTGGGATCTGTGGGGCATACACCAACCTCCATCTCGCTTGACCAAACTCTCCTTTACCTTCTATCCTTGGCATTATGGTTTCAAGTGTTGCGGTTGCAAGTTTTTTGAAAGCAAGTTGTCCATCTCCTTCTAATATGGATTCAGCTAATTGGCTCTCAAACACCTTTGCAGCCTGGGAGAGTGAGATTATAAACAGAAAATTTCGTCAAGAAGAAAAACGCAACAACATTTCCAAATTTCAGTTAGCATTTTTGACTTCAAAATTACCTCGGAAGGTGAGAGAGCATCCTGTTCCACAGAACGAGTTGAAGTCACCACTAGTTTTTCCTGCCAATTGCTGGCACGGCTTTGGACCCTAAATTGCCATTCTGAACCAACTAAGGCTAAATCTAGCAGAGGATCTAGTCCATGTTCAGGCTCAAACTTTGCAACGTTGAGATACTCCCTCTTCAGGCGTACCTGTGTTAGAAAACAAAATAGATGATGATTACTCTCGGACAGCCTTGTGTTTGCAAGAAATTATGGAATGAATGAGTCACCACAGAAAATCAAAACAGAGATTTAGACAAAACCTGAGTAGCCACAAGATTGACATCTCCATTCTCGAATGTCAGGACACCCTTTGGTTTGATAAATTTTGGATGAGCCATGCCATCAAGTTCAAGCTCACCACTAACAGCAAAATTAAGAATTAAAGGATACACTATCCTCAGTTCTGGTCCTAAAACAAGTTTCATATCACTCAGACGGATATCCATATTTGGTTTCATTTTCACTTCCTCAATCTCCTTTTCAACAGAATTAGATTTACCTGTTGCGGGCAAAACGAGCAGAGATCATTACAAAGTTTTACTTACAAAGTCCAAATACTATAATAGAAAAAAATCATAGAAATTTTGCTAGTAAATACATAAGTTACCAGTAGACTGGGAGAATTTCATCCCTGAAGAAGCCCGTTCTGTGCCAAAAAATCGAGCAAAATATCGTGAAGAAACTGCTTGATTAATAGCAGCACCTGGAATCCTATATTGATTGGCTGCCAGTCTATTTAAAGGGGCAGCTCCGCCACCCTTATCATGAGGCAGATAAGCTTCTCCTTGGCTTAATTTAATATTTCCTGATATAGTTGGCTGCAACATTGATCCAGTAATTTGCAGCTGAGTATCAACCTGACCACTGATATGGCAACACGATCACTCTCATAAGGAGTCAGAAAATGTAATAAGCTCAGTAACATGAGTCTAGAAGCAAAAAATGGAAGAAACCTAGACGATACAGTATCTCAGCATGCGGTCTAGAAATATAAAATTAACCAAAACTGATCCACGATAAAGTATGTACCCCTCAAGATATACCAATAGTTAAAGTAAGAAAGATAAATCAAAATTATGTACTAAAAGCTTGAAATGATTGACAGCAGCGTTGATTGCAGAGTATACCTTAAAAAATTCTTTGCTCGTACTTCTAGAACTTCACATTTGAGCTCTATTCCATCACCAGTCGATGCTTCATTTGATCTAAGGGGAAGATTTCCTTTCACAACCAGCTTTCCCCTTCTACTTACCCTGCTTTCCAGTGAGGTGATGCACAACCTGTTTGATTTAACATGTAAGGTTCCACCGAAGTTTGTGAGAGGTTTACGGAGCACAGGTGAAGAGATAGACGCCCTGTGGAATGAAGCAGACCCATCAAGCACTGGATGCTCTACTGTACCTCCGACCTGCTCAGCAGGTAGGTTATGCGTAAATGAATTTAGTCAGAATTTAAGGACATGGGCAGATCAATGTAGCTATCTTACAATGTAAAGACAACATAACAAGAGGATAATAGCCAACCTGAAGCCTGATATCAGCGTTTCCTTGGAGCCAATTAGCATAAGGAGATATGGCTGTTAACAAAGTCATTCCCCCATCCTTGATGTCTGCTTCCAATCTAACTTCTCCTTCATCTAAAATATTCCAGTATAAACCCTTGAGACTCTCAGCTAGTTGGCTGTCCCATCTCTCTTCGCTCCTATCCCTTGAGGTTCTCTTCTCATCATCGTCCTTTTCTTTTGCCCAACTAGGGATTTTCACTGCACCACCTCTATCTGTTTCGCTGTCTTCTCCCTCAGACAATTTTTTCTGCGAAAAGCTAACAGGAACACTTCCTTGTATATGGACATGACCATTTTGGACAAATGGTTCGAAGTTGGAGTTGAAAAGAAAACGACTGTTAGATGTAAGAGAAGCAAAAACTTCAGCTCGTCCAAGGTCTATACCACCAACAGCACCATCCAATAATCTAACTTGTACATCACATTCTGGTTTTTCAAGACTCCCTCTAAGATCCCCTTCCATGTGCAAAATGCCTTTGATTGGTGACAAGAGTTTCCTCAAAGAGTGAACAAGATCAGTAGCTGATGATTCAATAACCTCAACCAAGGTAGGTATCAAACTAACAGGGAAATTCAGAACAGCAAAATGAAGATTGGTTTTTGGCCCCAATAAGGTCCCATCTGCGTGCAGTGTAGCGTTTCCTTTTTGAATAAGCATCTCCTTAAGACGTAAACCATCATCATTGCTATACGAACCAGTAGCCAGAACACGCTGTGTTTTGTAAGTCCCCCACTCCCAATCATCTCCATGGAAGTCAAATTCGGCCTGATATTAGATGTAAGAGGAAAACGTTTAAACAAGACATCACTAGAAATTCTCACGTGATTATACCACTCATAAAAAGTTTTTTTTAAAGACAATTGCACCCGTCACCTTGGACAAGAAAACTTACAAAAACCAATTTGGAGTCCTTAACCCTTTAATTTTAAAAACGAGATGACAGAGTTATTTATATACCAAAGTGTCTCCATTGCCTCCACCACTAGCATCAAGCGAACCATGCCAATGACCTTTGAGCTCAGCTAAACCTGGAAGACTTAGATCTTCAGGAACGACTTCACTAGGTGGAGTATAATACCCACGTATCTCCTGATTTTAAGGAACCATAAAATTTAGCATAGGAAAAAAACTAAAGGCGACTTATTGGTATCTACACTGTTTTTTTTTTTCGTATTATAGAATCTGCTTTCTGTGTCAGAAGCCTGTTAGCTACTACGAATGGAGGAAAGGCAAAATATTTGGTGCATTACCTCGAGCAAGTCTCGAAGATTTTCAGCTTGTAGACAGAGATTTTGCACGCTTTGAATGAAAAGATCCTGCAATACCAACCAAGAAACCCAAACATCAGAGGCATCCAGCTCAAAGAGGAGATGAGAACATATTTTTGGAGTACATGAACATGAAAATGCTCTTGCAGGTTGTGTTTTTCTTGAACCAACATTTTAGAACATGGCTACTCACAATATAAGCATGTGATTTAGCAATAACATAAGCCAACCTTTGATCTTGAGTGAACAGCTGGATCTGTACTTCTTGAAAGAAGCCTTGCAAGAGGAAGCATCTCAGCAACCTCTGCCTTAGGCACTTCAAGTCTCATTCTCCATCTACCCATGGAGGATATAACACTTCCTAGATGACCAGTCATGGCTCTCATAAAAAAACTGCCAGCTTCCTTCTGACCAAGGTCTCGGTCACGGGAACCCGGCAATACATATTCACCTTGAAGCTCATACCGGCTATTGCTTTGTTCCAGAATAGTTTTCTCAACAGTTATCTTCAGGAAGAAAGATGAAAAGGATAAGAAGAGATATCATCATGCATATTCTCATATTGATTTCACTACTAAAAAGTACTTATCATAACCTCTAGTCTTCCGGACAACATGAAACACTTAAAACAAGGTAATAAAACATAGATATGAAATAGGATTGAATTACTCATGGCCATTTATATGGTGGCAAATGATGTACTATGAAATGATTAAACTAGAAAAAAGTGATGATCACTTTTTCGATTTCTTAGAAAACTAAACCAAACGAACAAGAACCTAGAATTCCACTAAATTAGGGCCGAAATACATACCACGTCACCGCTCCATCTTACTGCAACGTCTAAAGCTTCACCTAAAACTCCACTAAATTTTGGCCGAATTACAGACAACAGGCCATGTCCTCTTCGCTTCTGAAGATTTAGTTGAATCTCAGCCTGCAAGTAATATGGAAAGTAAGATACTATTGATAGTTTTATAAAGAGAGCACTGGCCAGTAGCATCTGAAAAGCTGATTTTCTAAGTTATATGCTTCTATGAGAAGTATCAAACCACATTAGAACTTCCAGTTCCAATATTCTGCCAGAACTAACATAATATTTGCAGGTTGTCATCTTAAGAACGTTTTATTAAGTGAACCTAATCTTCATTGACACTCTGAACATGCAAGAAAATATCCTAAAAAGACTGAAGCTGATAATACTGTTAATAAACTGTTCTATTTCTGCACTTCACTCAGCACCAGCAC